CCTGGGTCCTCCTTCCTCCCTTTTTTGAAAATGGGAACCACATTGGCCCTTTTCCAGTCCTCTGGTACCACACCAGAGCACCATGAGTGCTCGTAAAGCCATGCCAGGTGTCCCGCAATGACCTCTGCTAATTCCCTCAGCACTCTGGGGTGGAGATCATCAGGACCTGCTGATTTAAATGCGTCCAGTCCCTCCAGAAGTTCCCTGACTAGATCCTCACTGACCCTAGGCCTGGGTGTGCCTCCCCCAGGGCCTGAGGGGGTCCCGGCGGATGGGCTGATCCGGTCCCTGCTCAAGAAAATGGAGGCAAAGAAATGGTTAAATAGGTTAGCCTTGTCGTCTGGTGCGACAACCAGATTTCCTAGCATGTCTTGCAGAGGCCCCACGTTACCAGGTACCTTCTTTTTGCCCCCTATGTATTTAAAAAAAGGACTTCTTGTTGTCCTTGATCCGGGGTAGCTAGTCCCAGTTCCTGCTCCATCTTGGCCTTCCTGACCGCCCCCCCTGCAGGGCCGAGCAACCGAGGTATAGTCCTGCCTGGTGATGGCCCCTCCCTTCCATTGGGTGTACGCCTCCTTTTTAGCTAGGAGACGTTCCTGTATGCTTTTGGTGAGCCATGGGGGCTTTTGCACCCTCTTGCCCCCTTTGATCCTTGTTGAGATTACCTCCCTTTGGGCTTGGAGGACTGTCTCCTTAAGGAACAACCACTCTTCTTGGACACCTGACTCCCCTCCCCTCCGGGACCTCAGAGCCTCCCCAAGTATTCTCCTTACCTCATTGAAATCTGCCCTCCTGAAGTCCAGGGCTGCTGCCTTGCTGCAGGCTTTTGCCACCTTGCGCTAGATGGTGAATTCCAGCAGGTGATGATTGCTGTTGCCCAGGTGGTCGAGCACCCGCAGCCCCCTCATGAGGTCGTCGCCTGTGGCCAGCACCAGATCTAAAAAGGCATCTCCCCTGGTGGGGCTATGCACCTCCCGAGTTAGATGGAGGTCCTGTATTTCAGCTAGGAACCTACGTGAGCGGTCAGACCTGGCTGACTGCTCTTCCCAGTAGATGTCTGGAAAGTTCAGGTCACCCATGGTGACCACATCTTTTGACCTAACTGCCTCCGCGAGCTGACTTAAGAATTCCCAGTCTAGCTCTTCCCCTTGGTTGGGTAGACCCCTCTCACCTCCTGGAGTCCCTTGCTCAGCAGTGTGTACAAGCCTAAGTAGGTGGTCAAGATGGTCTGTGAACTGGGGGCAGCTGCACCAGGGTGAGGTGTAAACCCTGCCATAGAGGGGCAGTAGTGATGGAAGTCATGGGTCTCCCCTCATGAGAGCTGCTGGTTTTCACCTGCTCACTCCCCTTGGCTTCCGCAGGCAGTTCTTGCAGATCACCCGCTCCCGCTTTAACATGGTGTTGGTAGACAAGCAGGGTACGGACCGTGAGCGCTTCATCGAGCCGATTGACACTGACCAGCTCTTCGACTTTATTGACACCTACCTGCTGAGCAGCCAGGAGGCCACCCGGCGTGCAGAAAACAGGGATGTGTGCGAGTGAGCTAGTGCTGCAATGGCAGGGGGTGAGGCTTTGCTTTGGCTACTGGGGGAATGATGTCCTGCCCCCTCCTGAAACCCAGACCTCCCACAGCCTCAGAGGACAGGATTCCCTCACTGCTTTCTAGCTCTCAATAGTGAAAGAAGCAGCAGAGTCAAAGGTCAAGAATATTCATGGTGGAAAGGGACCAGCTGGTTCAAGCTGCTAGTGCAGTAGCCTTTCACAAGGAGGCTGAGAAAATATGTTTAGGCACTGTCTCCTCCTCCCCACCCTGCCCCGGCCCAAGTGATGAAGTAGCAGGGAAACAGCAGGTCAGGCAGGAGGATCTGAGGCTGTGTCAAGCCTGGTGGTACCTGGCAGGAGTACAGCAGCAGCAGATGTTCTTGATTTGTCTTTCTCCAACCCTCCTTGTTGTATTTCTTCGATGCCCAGGTTATGTAAAATGCAGCAAGTGTGCTATGACAGTAGGTCACCACCTGATAACAGGGCTACCCAGAGCAGCACAGGCTAGAGCACTGCTCCCAAGAGGGGCCTGTGCAGCACCAGAGAGATTTGGAACAGTTTCCCCTGGGAAGAGGATGTCTGTTTGATGTTCGAGAACATTTGGCAGGAACAGCAAGAATTGGATGTCAGATACAAAGATGTTACTTTGTCTAAACCCAGACACATGCATGATAAAGCTAAAGGACAGAAGGAGAACAGGGCAGGCAGCTGTCCCCAGACAAGGACAGAGGGCAGTTAGTACCTGGGTTTAGCAAGAACAGCTTGAACTGGGCTGCAGGCTTGAGGGGGAGCACTCTACTTGCTGCTCTCCTCAAGCACCAGATCTACTCTCTGCTGGGCAGTCCCACTCCATTTAGCCCTGGAGCATCTTGATCACATTGTTCTCTTGTCTAGAGATTGTATGCGTTTAGGATGTGGGAAACTGACCCACAAAGCATAGTTTAAGTGTTTTTAACTCTCTTTGCCTCCCTTTTCTTTCCAAGGTGCAGCTGAGCAACACTTGCTGCTGCCCTGGCAGAGCTATACTACCACAAACTACTGTACCGCTCTGTTTCTAGAACAGCTGTGAGAAAGCACACTGGTTCATCACATGCATAGTCCATAGCAAGACCAAGATCAATGATGGGTAGGGGCAGAGAGCAGCCTGCTGGTGCATAAGACATTCCCATCCTAACCCAGCAGCAACAGTTGCATCCTCATCTTCATCTCCTTACCCTTCAAACCCATGTTCCATTAATTCCCCTCCCTGGGGCAGCATAAGGACTCTCCTGCTCAAAAGCTAGTCCTGCACAGGCAGCAATGGTAAGAACGCCTTTATTAAAAACAGACTTCCCTTTGACAAGCATGTGGCAATTACAAAAACATGCACAGTACATTAGACAGCACAGAAACCACCCTCCCGAACAATTGCTCTACATGGAGTTTAAACTTCCGTTCCAGAATCTGCTCCTCCCCTCCACCTGGCAGTGCCAACACCTCCCTGGGAAATGGTTTGGCAGTTGAATGTTATTTTAAATGAATAAATTTGTATAACATAGCTGGCAGGAGCATACTGTGCAGCAGGCAAGTTGCCTTTCTAGCTCTCATCTCCAGCCACAAGCTCAGTTCAACAATGC